CAGAACAGCAGTGAGAAAATAAAATCACAGCATGATGAAATTAATAAACAGCTAACTACTCAAAGGGATTCACATCAGAAATTATATACAGAATGGAAACAAGAGGTAATGACACTATGTTCTTTCAAAGTCACAATATTTCGCTTAGTTAATAATGTCAGCAGTGATTACCACTAGAGTTTTGGAATCAATCTTTTGTAATCAAATCTTTATTGCTTCCATTCTAAAAATGCTATAAATGTTTAGTTTTGAAGAGAATTAGCGTTAATCAGCTCCATAGAACAAAATGGTTTGCTGGTTGTGGATCAAATAAGATGTTTTAATTTATTTTTTTTAATTTAAAATAATTGTTTTTGTGCCAGGTGACAGTGTCAGACATTGAATGTCACTGTTGTGTCTTCTGACGTTTTTTTTTGTATGTGCTAGTGCTAGTTATGTCCATGCTTGGGACTACATGACAGGTCTATGCGACCATCTCCCTATCAAATGGCAATTTTAATGTGCTATCCTAGCGTCAACCAGGCTCGGCCCAACACAAGCACCTGCGGACATTAACCAAGCTTCCTCCAAAGTTGCATTTGTTAGTTAATGAAATGTTTTCATTGGCAATTCATCTTATCAGGCTGATCAAGGCAAACAATATCATTTAGGCATCTGCTGTCAAATGGGTGGTTGAGCATTTGTCAAGTATTAGTAAAGTGCTTCTTCATCAATGTTGTATAATAACACACTGACACCTGATTGTTTTTCATTTATGTTCATTAGAAGAAGTCACTTGAAGATAGGTTGAAAACATTACTAGAGGATTATGAAGCTTTGAGTAAATCTCACTCTGATCTTGAAGAATTAAACACAACTTGGGCAAAAAAGAATACTGATCTGACCATGGTACAACACTCCCTAAAGGTAATTGCCATAATATAAGCAAAAAATAAAATGTTTTGCTTTTTGTCATTGTTATTCCTCACACACATTTTATTTAGTGATTTCACAATTAAAGTGAAGTGTGCCATTCGTGGTAGAATGAGCAAATATTTTTCTGTTTCAAAGAATAGTTTATTGATCCAAGGTAACAAAAGGGGAAAATACATTTAATTTAATTTTTTTTCCAAAACCCAGTTATGGGTAAACAATCTATCGAACATTTACCAAGTAACACACAAATCACACCAGCAAAAGATCAACCATTATTTCAGCGAAGTTCACAGGGACATAATCATAAAAAGTGCACAATCATATTCTTCAGTATCCCAACTTTCTTAAAACATGCTTAGTAACTGGCGAAGAATGCCTTAATCAAAGTTTAATACACTATTTCTCATTTCACTCCTCTTGCTACCTAAATGCATGTATTTTGTTGTTACTGTATTAAACAATAATATTACAAACAGAAATTAAAACAACTGTTTTCCCATTGCACAATAGTAGAAAAGTGTTCCAAATGGTGCAGTAACTTGTGATTAAAAGATGAATATTCAATCATTCTTCAGCCATCATCCTGTTTTAATTTACAGATCTCAGTACTTTTACTACAAATATAATTCTCCATATTATATTAGGCAAGCACACTATATAGTGTTCTGAATCATCTCAGTCTACAAGGCTTTTTAGCTTTGAACACATAGTGTTGGCAGGTGATATAGTGGTTACCAGTGCCCGACTCTCCATACAAAGTCGTATGTTCAAGAATATTGCATTCAACCTTCATAATAATCCCATCTAAAATTGGTTTAAAGTTTTACAGATTTCAATAAAAAATCCTAATAAATCGACACCAGTTTTTTAAAATATACATGTATATATTTGTCTTTGTTTGCAAAGGAAAAACTGGAAGTAAAAGAAAATGAACACCATAAATTGAGGCTTGAAAATGAAAACAAAGTTTTGGAAGTACAAGAACAGCTTGATGCAAGTATGAGACAGGTAGTCAGTTTACAACAACAACTTCATAATCAAAAATCTGAGAAAAACAACACAGGCCAAAACAAGAATCTAAACAGCCACGAAGAGCATGTTAGTTCATTAACTTCAGAAAATAAAGGTATTAATTACTCTCATTCTCAATATATGCAAGTTTATAATGAAAATATTGAAAAATGTTTAAATATTTATTTCTTACTATATATTTACAAAAAAAACAAGGTCAGCTTGGACGTTCAGTTGCGAGACATAAAAAAAAAACGCAGCCAGTGATACATTTTGAAAATAAAAATACAAAATAAATGCAATCAGACCACGCACGTTGGAAATGAATAGAACGCTTGTGACACAGTCTCACCAGCCTCTTTCACTCACGCAATATAGTTATGCTATTTCCCAGCACACTTATATTTAATACGTTGACGAAAAACACCACAAGAAAAATGTAAATCAGGCTTGTAATTACTAGTAACTCAACTCGAACGCAATATTCATCACTGTAAAAGTGGATAAATTCGAACCAGCCAGCTCATAACCGGAGACGGTCGGTCGTCTTCGTTGATAACTAGCTCATTCACCATAATCGTGGTGGTAAACTGTTTAGTTCAATCCATATTCGTCCCAACTTATTTAAATATTCTTTCGGAAATTTGAGACATTGTTCAAAAAATCCTGTACAGGGATATGTCTGATGTCAACTAATAATACGCAATTATCCAGGCAGTACTAGAAATTATTGCTGATACAAATCATGTTTTGTATTGGGAAGTTGGATATTTGAACGTGTAGTTCCCGGGCGTGTAGTAGACGAGCATAATCATACTGTCA